TGGGACACCGCAATTCATACACCGGCGTAGCAGGCGAAGGGCGTGCCGCGAGCGCGGCATGAAGACCCCCTAAGCACATCGCACCGTGGTTAGGAGGTCCCCTCAACGGGCACGCCATCCGATGCACAGGTAAGACAGCGAGAGGATCCTGCCCACGGCGCGACATGTGATCGGGACTGGGGTCAGGGGCGTGGGGGAAACCACGGTTGGACCTTAGTGATCGAGCCTCACTCGCGCTCGCCTTTACCCTGCAACCCCCGTAGTACATGCGGTGTAGTACGTGGCACATAGATGTACACGTTTTGTTCTCCTATAAGCGTACGCTATAACTGGGATATCGCCCTCTTGTCCCAATGAGGGGTCATGTCACCCTAACCCACGTCGGCCCGTGGCAGGGGTCGCATCGTAGGGACAGCCGTATTTCGGTTGGGCCATGACTACTGTGCGCACGTTGGGGGAAGCGAGGGATCTAATCCCTCTTGTGGCGTGATGATGCATGCAAACGGAAATCGGCAGGACGCCCCAGAACACCCCGCGGCGTAGGGCTCCCGTGGTGGGAGGATACAGCGCTACGCAACGGGCTGGGTAGTTACCCTTGTAGCAGCACGTTGCTGTTGTCGACGTTCCGCCCGCAACTTCACACGACCCTTGGCCTTAGCTATAGGCGCTATAAAAGAACAACTGCGTGGTACACAATGTTAAGAACATCTAATACCCATACATACATCTATAGCCTCTACAATCTAATGTATTATCTCAATATTCCTGCTTTCGTCTCGTTATTACTCGTCCGCGTATAACTTACCGTCATTGGTATGACATGGCCAGCGTCGCGTAAAAACACATCAGTCAGTGCCGCAGGGAGCTATCGGCCAATGGCGACCCTACGGCTCACCATAGATTCATTTTCGCGCATTTTAGATTGGGAAACGGCAGTTACTACCTCCTGCCAGTATTCACAATGTCCAACGTCAATGCCAGTAAGGCAAACCTGACCAAAGCGGTCGCTGACTGGGAAATTGCTAAAGGTAAGATACCGGCCTCCATACTCCAGCCAGTTGACGTACAAAATAGCGGCTCGCTACAAATGCTTGAGGCACGTCAAGCAACCATCAAAGTTTATTTAGCGCAAGTTCGTGTGGCGTTAACTACGCTTTCCGAAAGCCGCCAAGCATTTCTTAGCGTAGTCAAAGACTCAAGTGTTCCGGACGAAGAAAATGACGCGCACACAACGCGCGCGCAAGAGACCCGCGTAGATGCCGCCATCACGGCAGCTGAATCAATTATGTCTTCTCTTAGCGCACGTTATAATGAAGTTAAAGCGCTCATTGACACTAATCAACGCTCATTACTTTCAGATACATTGTCGTGCGGAAGTACTCGTAGCCAAGAACAAACTCGAGAAGTCACGCCGACGGTGTCTACTGCAAGTGACAACGTTCGCACCTTCGTGCTACCGCAGCGCTCGAGCGACCCATCATGTGCACCGCCCTATTACACCCCATATCACCCCGTAGGGCCGGTTGGACCCTCGTCCTCCATTCTACCAGCGCACTCTGTTATACAACTGGGCAAGCTCACACTGGAACCCTTCACTGGGGACATCACCAAATTCCATCGTTTTTGGAGCGCATTTGAGCTTGCGGTACACAACGATCCAAATACGCCACCGGCCTATAAATTCTTGTATCTGCAAGGTTTACTCCAAGGCGAAGCTCCAGGTAGTACTGCAGGATCTTGACCCCGACGAGTGCAATTATAATGAGTTGGTGGAGGCTTTGAAGAGGCGCTACGATCGTCCTTATAAGACCCGTGCGACTCTTCATAAGCAACTCCAGCAACTGCCCGTAGCTCGTAATAACGGTCAGGACCTGCGTAATACCTGGTTCCGCATATCTGGTATTCTTCACGGTTTGCGTAGGTTCGAAGATTTCCGTACCGTGCTACCGCTACTTGACCTGGTCAAAAGCAAATTTCCTTCGGAGATCCAACAAAAACTGCACGATCTCGAGTTTCAAACCAATTCGGATTTTGATCTTGATCAAGGTTATGCAGAAGCTGGACCTTATCATCGCGTCCAGGGAAAAATACGAAGATTCTACGACGTTGACCACTAGTTTCACCGTAGGCGTTGCTACTCGTCAGCGCAGTCCACCGCGCGCAAGGTCATCTTCTACGCATTCGCAAACTTCAACCAAGTGTTGTTTCTGCGAATCCGACAATCATAGTTCTACACGTTGTCGGTTGGAAGTACCAGTTGTCGTACGTCGTACCCTTGTACGAGTCTCTGGACTCTGTTGGAAGTGTCTTCGAGAAGGTCATTCGTCTCGCTCGTGTCATTACCCTGCTTGTCGAGTGTGTTCTGGAGATCATCACGAGATCCTCTGCAATAAAAGTTCGCGCAGTCAACATCGTTCACGCGCAGAACATCGCAGAGACGACAGTCGTCATCGTTATCGATCGCCAAGTCCTTATTACTCGCGTAGTCCATCACGAGACAGCAGGCGAGACCGCAGTCCGTCTCGCAGCGACAGGTCCCGTTCGCATTCTCGCAGTCGGCACGAGGTGCATAGACGTAACGACAGGTCGTTCTTCTCGCTTCACATTCTCCACAACGCGTTGCGTTTCAGTCACCCGTACGGGATCGCTCCAGTCATCACACACGTCGCGCATCGCCATATCCGCGTCGGCACCAGGCGTCTGAGTCTGATGCTGAAGCGGATGTAGTGCACTCACTCTACAAAAGTTCGACCGCGGCATCTTCGGTTAATCCTACGTACAGCTCTTCGTCACTTATGCTAGTTAAAGGCAAAGCGCTCAATTGTAACTCTTCGAGGTTAACGGAGGTCATTCTGTTCCTCGATTCCGGGGCGCAGAATAGCTTCATAACATTAAGTTCAGCGCAGCGTCTAGGCCTCAAAATAGACAATCATCAACTGCGTACGTTTTTCACGTTCGGTGGCCATTCGACGTCGGAGGTCTCTGGGACTGTGCAGCTTACACTAGTAGATTTGCTTGACAAAGAGTTCGTACTCGAGCTAACCACCAAGCAAACTGTCACATTGGCTCAATTTACACCACGTCTCTCTTCTAAAGACATTCACTTCATACAGCAGCATGGCTTCACGATGCCTCTGTGTCAGTCTAGTTCTGTCGTTCCAGACATTCTCGTGGGCATCGACCATTTCTGGGACATTTTGTCACCAGAACCGCCTATTTGCCTGCCATCAGGCATGGTACTCTGTCACACTCGCTTCGGAACAGTCGTCTCCGGAAATTCGGTTTTTCAGTCTGGCTTCGCAAAGCACAAATGCCAGCGATGCACTTGCAATCGGTGAGCAGGACGGCGACAGTGCAATACAGCGACTTGTGGTCTCTCGACACTCTCGGCATAGCCGATGACCACGACCCCTCCGTAGATAGTAAACTCAACGAACGCATTATCCAGGAGTTCAACAACACGTCGGAGTTTATTGATGGTGTCCTTTATGTCAGGTTTCCGTGGAAACCAGATCACCCTCCTCTGGAGGATAACAAGCAGCTCGCGTATTGTCGTCTTCTTCATCAATTCCAACGGTTAGCAAGACGCCAGCAGTTTGGCAGCAATACGTCAAGGCAATTGAGGATCATATCACCGCAGGCTTCGTAGAAGAGGTCGAGGAATACGTCTTTGATGATCCGCGTATATATTACATCCCTCATCAGGCGTATTCAAGGAGTCCTCTTCTACTACGAAGTTACGTGTAGTATTCGATGCCTCGTCCAAGCGCAAAGGTTCATGCAGTCTCAATGATTGCCTTTACCAAGGTCCGACACTTTTGCCGGAACTTCTCGGTATCTTACTCCGCTCACGTCTGCATCCGTTTCCTCCTCATAGCAGACGTAGAAAAAGGCGTTCCATCAAATTCGACTTCAACGTTCGCAACGCGATGCTACTCGTTTTTTGTGGCTGAAAGACACCTCTAAACCACCGTCTCTGATAATCTGCGTATCTTTCGGTTTACTCGAATACCATTTGGGGTCAATGCTTCACCATTCCTACTCGCGGCAGCCATCAAGTTGTACCTCCACCGAGAATCGCATCCCATAGGTGACGAAATCTCACGCAACACGTACGTGGATAACGTCATCTTGGGTGCTACTCGAGGGAAGATGCACTTCGCAAGTATAAACTCGCTAAATCAATCTTCAATAGAATGCACATGAACCTTCGGGAGTTTTTATGCAATTCTTTGCACGTCAATACAAATATACCTACACAGGATCGCGCCATCAATCCATCCAATGCTAGCTACTAGGTATTCGTTGGCATTTCGAAAGCGATGAGCTTGCAGTTCGTATTAAAATTCCGCAAAACCAGCTCAATAGTAAACGTACAGCGTTGAGTGCACTGGCCTCTACCTACGACCCTCTAGGATTGCTCACCCCGTTTCTGGCTCCATTCAAGGTCTTTATTCAGGACCTTTGGAGACAGAACATGGGATGGGATACTCCATTGAGAAGTCGCAGTTAGGCCAGTGGAGTCAGTTGTTATCTGACTCACAACACCCGCTTCCGCTTATTCCTCGCTTAGTTATGCCATCCAAGACAACGCCGACCAGTATAGAGCTATGCGTTTTTGGTGACGCATCCAAGCGTCTGTATGCATGTTGTGCTCATTTGGTTTGCCGTTCACTTACAGCAGTCAATCGCGCCTGCTTATGGCAAAGTCTCATCTCAATCACCCCAAACCAATCACAATTCCGCGTACAGAGCTGCTTGCAGCTTTAATCAGCATTCGTTTGGCGCAATACATTGTAAAGCATTTGAATTTACCATTCTCAGCCATCCACCTCTTCTCAGACTCACTAATCGTAATACACTGGATTCACACAGTAAAACCTTATAAGGTTTTCGTTCAAAACCGCGTAGAAGCTATCCGCCGCTCACTAGCGCAACTGGAGGCGCAAAACATGGCAGTCAAGTTCCACTATGTCGCTTCCGAGCACAATCCCGCCGACTGTGCCACACGCGGTCTGGCAACCAAAGAAGCTAAAAACCACATTTGGTGGACTGGACCACCCTTTCTGCTCACACCTCAAGATCAGTGGCCTGAATACACATGTTGACTTCCAGATTCCACCGCAGGAGGGTGAAGAAATTCAGTCCGAGTACGCAGATGCACATATGGTAGTACATCAGACTGAGTTCCAATCAGTTCTGCCATTTTCAGGTACTAACGACTACCTAAAACTTGTCCGCATCACAGCGTATTCGCTCAAGTTCTTGCGTAAAATGATTCTCGAGCGCGTATCACAAACCACTCGTGCCGTAATTCTTTCTAAACTAAGCTGCGTAGGCTCAGTTACATCATCTGCTACCATACAAGCTGTAGACGTGGAGGCCGCCGAGACGCAGCTCATACTCGCGCACTATCGCGAGGGTGAGTGCTCTTACAGCGGCTACAGCTCGCAAAATTCCATGCTCAGCGAGCAGATGACCAACTAATTCGTTGTCCATCCCGCATTGGACCATTACAGACGGCACCTATTTTGTTGGTACCTTCACATAGACTTACACAACTTATCATACTTCATTATCACAACTCCAGCTACCATTCTGGCGTATATCATACCGTATCCAACCTACGTCAACGATTCTTTATCCCATCTGTCCGTAACTGCGTAGCAAAAACCTTGCGCACGTGCGTCACATGCAAGAAAGTTCAATGGGCATGCTTATAAATATCCTAATATGCCGCCGTTACCGCCAGAACGCGTCAAAAGGTCAAGACCCTTTCAAAACATTGGCGTGGACTATCTTGGCCCCATCCCTATAAGCAATGCTCACACCATTTCCAACAAGGTGTGGATCTGCCTTATTTACTTGCATGGCTACACGCGCAGTGCACTTCGAAGTTGTGCTGGATAACACTACGCAAGAGTTTTTGCTCGCATTCCGTAGATACATAGCGCGTAGAGGTACGCCAGATGTGGTGTACAGTGACAATTCGTCCACTTTTCATGCCGCAGAAAGCGCCATAACAACGGTGCTTTACTCCCCCAAATCATGGGAATCAGTATCAAACTACTGCGCGAAGCACAAAATAACGTGGAAGTTCATAACTCCTCTTTCCCCCTGGAAAGGAGGATTTTATGAACGTATGGTCGCTTATTCAAAACTGCGTACAAAAAATCCATTGGTCGCGCTGTACTTCAACTTAATCAGCTTCAAACTATAGTCGCCGAGATAGAGGCGATCATCAATTCTCGTCCAATTACCCCTTTCCGGGAAACAGACGCGTTCGCCTATGTCTTAAGACCTATAGATTTCATTATGCCGTCAGCAAATGTACAGCTTCCACCATTGCCATCACATCCGGATCCAATTTACGATGCGTCTCACAACCTCGTAGAGTGGTATAAGGATTTGCTCACACTTCTTGATCAATTTTGGGAACTGTGGCATTCCGATTACCTCTCTGCGTTGAGAGAACGGCAAGAAATCGCGTACGTCAAAACAAATATGCCGCCTCAATTCCACAGGTTGGGGACATTGTGATCGTCGCTGACGATAAACTTGTTCGAGGGCACTGGCCCTATGGCCTAATAGAAAAGCTACACTACGGTAAAGACAACTGTATTCGTTCCAGCGGATGTTCGCATGCCAAGCGGTAAACGCAAGGTTCGGTCGCTAACACAACTGTATCCATTAGAAAATACGTGCCCGTTCAACTTCTTCCGGCATAAAGACTACTCCCAA